AGTAGCCTGGTTTAACCCTCTCTAGGATGAATCTGTTTGTTTTCTTGGCAGTCCATGGTACATTCAATACTCTTCTCCAGCACCACAGCTCAAAATTAACTTTAATTTTCCCCCTTGTTGTGTACCATCAAACTGGATCTGACTGGCAGATTATCCTCCTCCTCCAGTAGAACATCTGGTGGACACGAACTGCACACCTTTGGGATCACAGTGCTGCTTCTTGCCACTAGGCCACCAGAGTCCCCAACCCATTTTTAATGCATGTCCACATTGTTGTCATTCATGTCTTTTCTAGTCACTCTTTTCTATTTCAGTATGTTACTGTGTGCCGTCAAGATGCTTGCAACTCAGTGACCCTTTGTACAACAGCTTTTTCAGTGTAGTGTTCATTATCTGTCTTGTCTTTTCCTTCTCTCCTTCCTCCCTCCCTGTGTCTATTTTTATAACAGTGGTCCTTGGAAATGTGTAGTATTTATCCTTTTGTGAGGTAAGATATTTCATTTAGCATGTCTTCCAGACTCATCCATGTTGTGTAATATTTTACAAGTTCGTTGGTTTTCACTGCTGCGTAATATTCCATTGTGTGGTGGATGTACAGCATTTTTCTGTCCATTTGTTTACAGGCACTGGGCTGCTTCTCTCTTGTGAATATTGCTGCGGTAAGCACAGGTGTGCATTAGGCTGCAGTCTTTAATCAACTCCAGCAAGTGCTTCAAGTCCTCTTCACTGTCCACAAGCAAGGTTGTGTCATCTGCATAAAGCAGGTTGTTTATGAGTCTTCCTCCAGTCATGGTGTCACGTTCTTCTTTATATGGTCCAGCTTCTTGGATTATTTGCTTAACATACAGTTTGAATGTTCTTACTATTGTGTGCTGTGGAGGCAGCTTCGAGGAAACAGCTGTTTATAGGCTTTGTCTCTGAAAGTTATTGATACATGGCAATCAGGTCAAGGTCAATAATTTCTATGTATTCTCTTAACCACAACAAGGAATCATTTTGGTGATTCTCTGGCAACCCATGAAGGGAGAGAGAGAGATTGGGGGTCTAATCCTCTCCCCTTTGCAACCAAGGAAGCTGAGTCTCGAAGGACATTTGTGTACTATGCATTCTCCAAGGCTGGGCTTTGAGCCCAAAGCTGGGATTAGAACAGGCCCACCCTTTCTTGGGCAGATGCCTTTGCACAAATTGATGCTACTCTTTTTTTTTTATCTTATTAACAGTATTTATTTATCCTTCCTCAGTCAAACCCTGAGCCAATCACTTTCCCCAGGCTGCCTGGGGAGTTACAGGGAAAGGAACACATACGGTAGACAAGACATGGGGAGAGAAAACCAACAAACTATGAGAGGTGGAGATGGCTCCTTCACATGGCGAAGAGGATCAGAAAGGCCACCATCAGGCAAAAGAGCCCCATGGCCTCTGAGAGGGCCAAGCCCAGAATGGCATAGGAGAAGAGCTGCTGCTTCAGAGAAGGATTCCTGGCATAACCAATGATGAGGCTCCCAAACACAGTCCCAATCCCGGCTCCAGAGCCAGGCGCTCCAACCGTGGCAGCCCCAGCCCCAATGAACTTGGCTGCTGGGTCAATATCCCTTGAGACAGTGCTGGTTTGGAAGTTGCGACTAGGGACAAATGAAATCAAGGAACGTGGGGCTTTCAAGCAGCTGAAATTCTCATCTCTCAGTGTCTCTGGCTGTTTCAGGACCACTGCAGACAATGGACGGCTCAGCAGCTGAGAGGCACTCCTGACCAGGGAAGGGGTGGAGACAAACTTGGTGCAGGTATACATTTTCAGGGGATGAGGGGCTGTGGCAGCAAAGCTGCTCCTAGTGCAGAGAAGACAGAGAGGGGAGGGGGGGCAAATTGATGTTACTCTTGATGTGAAAAATGGTAGCTACTTATTTCTAAGGTTATTAATAGGATTTTTCCCATGTTATGCCTGTATACTTGTTTGAGTTCACTTTTTCTGAGTAATTTTTTAGTACATGTTTCAGAAAAAGGGAAGTAATAGATTTTAACTTCTCATCTGTCTTTATTTACAAGCCTGAAAACACATTAGAATTAGCAAGACCAAAAGTCACATAGATAGAAGAGAGCTCTGGTGGCCTAGAAGCAAGAAGCTGCACTGTAATCCCAAAGGCTCACAGTTTGAATCCACTAGATGTACTGCTGGAAAGAAGGGGCAAAGTCTTCCTGTCAAATCTGATTTGACGGTATACATACAAAAAAGGAAAAAATTAAAAAAAGGTCATATAGATAGAAAGGCACTAGAAGAAAATCTGGCAATGATTTTAAATATATAAAATAGGTACTTTTATACAAGTGTCATCTTTCCCAAGGACCTATCCATAACCAGAATTGAAAGTTTATCTCCCCAGAATTATCTCAATGGAGAAGCATTTACCCTCCACAAAATTACTTACACGTTATTTTATACATAGATTCCCTGATGGACTGCTTATAAATAGCAAGTAACCAGAAATGATCACAAGAAAAGACTGGCTAATATGCTATGGAGCATCTGTAAAGTCAAATATTTGTTCAAAATAATGACACAAAACAGCAGGTGGTGATTTTGTTAACTGAAGGGCACAGCACATGATGGCATTTTAGTTCAAAAACAAAGTGCTGGCTGAAGTACACCATGTGTCTCAGATTTTATATCATATATATATATATATACACACACACACATGGATATGGGATAAATATGTAGATATATGCTAAGAGTATATTTCATAGCCTTCTCTAATAGCCCTGGGGGTATAGCTCAATGGTAATTAACTTTATAAAACACAATGCAAAAAGGAAATGGCCCTGTGGGCACAGTGATTCTATCACTTATTCACTAACCCACAGGTTGGTGGTTTGAACCCATCAACCACTCCATAAGAGAAAGACTTATCTATCCAGCTGTTTCCCATAGAGATTTACAACCCTGGAAACTGTCGGACAGTTTTAGAGCCTTTTAGGGTCATTACTAGTCAGAATACACTTGATGGCGGTGGGTTTTCTGGAAGAAAACACTAGAAAATGTTTACTGTCATTGAAAGAGGGAATAAGAGGCATCTTCTTCCTTTACCGTTTGTACCACGCAACCATATGCTTGGTGCATCTAAATTACCCTTTAAATTTCTTTTTAGGGTTAACAGCACAGGTATGAATTTTTTTTTCTTTGTATGGCTTTTGTGTCAGAAAATGTTGTTTAAAAACATAATTTTTTTTTTTTTAAATTAAGTTTAGCATAGTAGTGGGTGAAGGCCAGGCTAGGCTTAGCCTGTGTCAGCCCCAATCCTAGAACTCCACCGTTCAGCAGGGATGAGCTCATACTGCTCCAGACCCACCGTCCCTTCCTCTTCTTTGATGACCCAGATCGTGGCCCTCACCCCTTTTCTGTTGGTGCTGATGCTGCACGGACAGCATAGCGGAATGGTGCAAAGCCGTTATGTCGGATGTTTTCTACTGCCCGCTAATGGAGTGTGTGTGCACCCTCACCAGCGGGAAAGGTTTACAATCAGCTCCTTTAAAACGTCACTCTCAGTGGAAGGACCACTTACAAAAGCAAAGTTGCCTTCTGAGTAAGATCTGGCCTGAAGTGTGGGTGACAATTTAAAAACCTTAACTTTGAAAGGTTGCTTTTGCATCAGCTTAATGGCATGTGCAATGGGGAACTAACTACTCCAAAATTCCTGCTGGTTAGGAAAAGGGGGTGTTCACCCTCAGAGGATGTCTCCATGGGCCACACTGAAACCCCGTGACCAAGTAGGTAAGGAGTTGCACTGCCAACCCAAAGGTGAGTGGTTCGAGTCCACCAGTTTCTCCAAGGGAGGAAGCCAGGCAATCTCCTTGCGTGTGATTCACAGCCTCTGAAACCCAGCTGGAGCATGCAGCTGGGGGCTGGTTCTGACTCAATGGTAATGAGTTGAGTACACCCCAAAGGGACTGGTCCTTGGATAGGGACATCATGTTTGGCAGAGTGGAGGGGCGGTGAAGGAGAGGAAGACCTTTGAGGAGATGGATTGATTCTGTGACTGGAACGGTGGGAGTAAGTGCATTTGAGATGGCTAGGTTGGCACAGGATAGAAGAGGTACAGAGCTCTTATACATAGCGTCGCTATGAGTCACAAGCAACTCGATGGCACATAACAACAACACCCCAAATAGAAAGCTGGTCAGTCCACTCCGTGTTTTTATTTTTTACTCAACTCTAAGGAAACAGCAAAGTTAACACAACATTTAGCAACTCCAGTTCTGTTTCAGTTACATCAAGGAAGAGCAATCAATTTAACAGGCACAGATTGTAGACCTCACAGCCAGCACTGCTGCCCATCCAGGCCACCACTGTGGCCTCTTAAGGACCCAGTAATGCTCTATTTCTTCAAACCTGGTACATTCACTTGCATATTTTTTCTCCCCCTTTTTAAGCTCTGGGTCACTTATTTTTATAACAACAATCTGATGGGCCCATAAAGGTACCAAACATTCCCCCACAAATATTTGACTTCAAATCTGATCAGAATACAAACTAGCATGTGTGACTTTGCAGAAGTATAAAGGGCAGGCACCAGGAAGTGTGTCACTGGTGAGAGCGGGAGTTGGGAGGAGGAGACATCTACATGCTTCACTGAGCTGGAGAGCGGGGCCTGGCGGCTCCGGAACTCCCTGGTGTCTCAGCATTCTACTTCCCGGACAGCTGCTCGTAGAGCTTGGGCACGTAGTCATCCCATTCCGCCTGGTAGCAGGTGCCGGCAACCGCTGAGCCGAGCTGGTACTTTTTGCGGAAGGAGGCCACCTTGAACTTGCCCCGGTGGTCTCCGGAGCGGTTGCTCAGAATGGGCTCATCACACTTCAGGGGCCTGTCCTGCTCGTAAACCAGCCACACGTAGCGGTGGAGACCTGGAGAGAGGGACGGGAGAAAGATGAACGTGGCCAGGCATCTGGGAAGGCGACTATCATCCGTCTTCAGAGAATGGCCCAGAACACTCCTTGGATAGGACCCTCGGGACCCAGGATGCAGAACCTCACCGAACAGCTCCCACTACTCTTAGCATCAAGTCCAAATTCTTCTTCACAGCCTTTCAGGACCAGCCAGACACAGCCTTCAACCACCTGTCTCATTCCTCAGGCTGCAGGCATCGCAAATAGAAACTGACTGACTGGCTTCTCTTCTCCCTTCACTTCCAATAGAATGCATGTCTTAGGTCTAGCGCAGCAGTATCATTATCCAAGCCCTGGTGGCACGGTGGTTAAAGTGCATGGCTGCCAATCGCTGGGGTAGTTCTATTCTGCCCCGTAAAGTCATTATGACTCAGAAATGCCTGGAGGGCAGTGAAACTGGCTTTTAATAACATCATCGATCTTTTGTACCTCTAAAACTTAGTGCTTGTGGAGACCGCCTTGAAACGACCCAAACCCACTTTAACCAGTAAGTAGAGAATGAATGCCTGAAAAATCAGCCAGTGAACCACGGTTAAATACCAGGCAAAAATAGTGCTGTGAACTTCAGGGGAGAAAAAGTTCTTTAAAAGGTGAGTTATGGGGAGCTCTGGTGGCCTAGTGGCAAGAAGCTGCACTGCAATCCCAGAGGAACACGGTTGAGTCCACCAGATGCTCTGCCGGAGAAGGAGGGACAATCTCCTCCTGTACCAGTCAGATCTGATTTGACGATACACGCACACAAAATAATAATAAAAAAATAAAAAAAAGAAAAGGTGAGTTATGAAAGTAAATAGAAGACTGGTCAGGAACAGCATTGGTCAGCAAAGAGCATGTACAATCAAACCAAAATGATAACCATTTCGGAATGCCCAACATCTCAAAGACTGTAACACCTATTATTTGTACAGATTGGGGCCTACTCAAACTTTCAAACACAGCTGACCAGAGTACCCAAATGTTCAACCATACTGGAGAACTCTTGGACAACATCTTACCAAATTAGCTGTAGTAACTGTCTGCGGGCCATGAATGTTACTCTAATAGATGGACGTTAAGTGAGGAAATAAAAACTTGCCCACAAAATGACAGGCATTTATTCTTTATACCCAGACACTGGAGACCGCACAAATGTCCACCAGGGGTCACATGACGGGATACTAATAAGTAATGAGAGGAATGAACTACCAACAGGAATATGTAACAGTCGATCAATATCCCGAGCAAAAGGAACCAGCCACTGCTAAAACGCAGTCTGCGTGGTATGAAACCATCTGGCTGAATACAAGAACAGCTAAAAGAATCACTGATGAAAGGAGAGAGAAAATGGGTTACTTCTGGAGGAACTTAACTAAAAGGTCACACAAGGATCTTCTGAGTTGGAAGAAATGGCCTCTATTTTGTTTTTGATGACGATTACTTGACTGTATGCTTTGGTCAAAACTCATTACCTAAGTCCTTACCATCTATGCATTATATGTAAATTGTATCTTATGAAGAAACATAACTAAGAACATAAGAAAAGAGAGGAAGACCCTCAAGCTGACGGACTGACACTGTGACTACAACAGTGTTATTTTTGTTGTTGTGTACCATCAAGTCAGAACCGACCCACAGCTGACCTCCGGCGGGTTTTCAGATGCAGTTAATCACATAGGAAGAGACTGCCTATCCTTCTCCCACAGAGCAGCTAGTGGCCTTGAACCCTGTGCCTTCAGACTGCAACGCAGCTTTTTGCCACTAGAGCCTCTGATTGTAGCAATGGGCTTAAGCCTATCTGAGATCCTGAGTATAGGGAAGGGCAAGGTTAAGATCATCAGGTCACCAGGATTCACGGAAGACTTGATGGCACCTAACAATAAGTGAACACGAGAAGAAGAAAAAGAAAAAAAGGCGGTCAATGAGGCTTTTTTTAAAGAAATGAGAACAGCTCTTACTTGAGAGAATGACTTTTTCTCCTGAGAACATTTCCCATCATTACTCTGCTTCATTTCATAACTGCCCTAGAGAAAGTCATGGATCCCTGAGAAATCTGTCCCTTCACCTTCCTATTACAAACACATGAGAGGACAGGAGCTCATTAGAAGGTTCTGGATCTACAGATAAAACAGGAGTCCAAGTCCAGCTGTTGGCAGGGCCCGCCTTATACCTCGAGTCAGGCGAACTCATGGCAGCACAGAATGTACCAGAACTAGTGCTGTCACACTCCAGCCTTTGCTAGTTCTTTGTCCCAGCAAATAAACAGATGTTATAATGCACTAGAGTAACAATGCATTGGCTTATCATTACTATTATTAGTAACAGCTTAGGCAGCATCTAGCCAACGTGGAGAGTTTCAATCTCTTTCTCTCATTTGATACAGCTCCTATAACATATGTGACTTATAATGCAATATGTGTGTGTCTTCAATAGTTCTCAAAATCTTCCACATCTTTTTGGGGCAATCAATCAGATCTGTGAGAAAGTGAAAGGGAGCCAAAAAGACACAGGAAGGCTGTTTAAAAAAATAATTATTAATGAGAAATCTTGACATCTCTGTGACCTTTCAGAAGAAATCAGAATCTCAGCAAAGGACACAGGGCAAAAGACTGAATAGAGAACCAAGACGGGCTGAGTTCAATCCACACGCAGGCCATTCAAGAAAGCTATTCCAGGCACCCTAAAAGACTGCATGCTTGGCATCTTCTCACCAACCTCCCTGCTTAAGGAAGGCCTAGTAGCCATGCAGCCCCAGAACCCAAGACTTGCACCACTGGACACTACAGCAGGCCTGAGGGGGCTCTGGGAGCCAGCCACACTGAAGCTGAACTGATCTGCCTCAGTTCCACGCAGTGTGGAGTCCAATAAAGGAACTCCTTCAAAACCAGACTGAAGCTTGGGCCAATTCTAACGTTCACCCAGGTCCCCCACATTCTTCCCCACCAAAGCAGCTGTGACTAACCTGTGCCCTTGGGAGGCCCAGAGCCCACATAATCGGAGAGGACTGTGCCACTGCTGACGTCATTGCCTTTCATGTTGACGACCAGAAAATGATGCCATTCCCTATGCAGAGGAACACAGAATTATCAGCGCCACAGGAAACATCTTCAAGGCACCAGCAAATGGGACTCAGCATGAGTTCCATGCCAGGCGGAAGCTGTGATCAAGAAAGGCCTGGTCCCAGCTTTCTGGGCCAGAGCGAGCTGCATGGACATAATCTGGGATTGAAGTAAGTCATTAATGTTGTTAGGTAACAATGAGTCAGAACCAACCCATAGCTAACCCTCCTGCAGGTTTTCAGAGGCAGTTAATCACACAGGAAGAGAATGTGCATCCTTCTCCGGTGGAGCAGCTGGTGACCTCGAACCATGTGCCTTAGGGATTTGCAGCACAGCTTCTTGCCACTAGGCCACCAGAGCGCCCTTCATGGGCATGCTTTAAGAGGGGCCCAGCCCACTTTCCAAGATTCTCCAGGTCAGCCTTAGCAAACTTCTTCTGAAAGGACCACAGTGAGATCGTTTTGCCAGTTACATCTCTACTGGGAGCTATGATATCATGCCTAGTTCTTAGTGAGAGAAGCCCATGCTTTTCTGTTAGTTCAAATCCACCAGTGGCTCCATTAAGAGAAAGGTGGGCAATGTCCTTCTGTGTGACTTACCACCTTGCAAACCCAATGAAGGGTCAGCTATGAGTCAGTTCTGACAATGCCAAAGAGAAAGACAGTCTCGATGCTCAACTCAACAATGAAATGGAAAACAGCCACAGGCAAAATACAGAAAAATAATCATGGCTATGTTCCAACAAAACTTTATTTGTGAATGGTAAAGGAAGAATTTCATATAATGTTCCTATATCACAAAGTATGAGTCTCCTGTCATTTTTTTTTCTAACCATTTGAAAAGAGATTACTCTTAGCTCACAAAGTCACAGACTATGGACGACTGTGGCTCTAAGCTGTAGTTTACAGATCCCTGCTCTAGTGCAGGCAGAGATGGGATAAGAATGCAGACAGAAGGCTGGTGTAGGGGAGCTCAGGTGGCCTAGTGGCAAGAAGCTGCAACTATAGTCCCAGAGGTGCACGGTTCGAATCCACCAGATGCTCTGCCGGGGAAGGAGGGGCAATCTCCTCCTGTACCAGTCAGATCTGATTTGATGGTACATGCACACAAAAAAAAAAAAATTTAAAAAAAAAAAAAAAAAAAGAAGGCTGGTGTGGGCATCCAATCCAAGCCAGCACAGCCATCCACTCTTGTTAGCACAGCCTCCCATCCGTGACTTGCTCAAGTCTCAAAGCTACAGATTCTATTAGGGTGACCCACTGTTCCTTCTGTTCTCCTAACTTACCTGAACTTGGGGTCCTTCCTGCTGGGTGCATCTGGGTCTGTCAGGACCAAGGTGTAGAGTTTACCTGAATCAAGGCCCTCCCATGTGATACTGGTGGGGCGGTTCTTCACCTGGAGAGAGGAATCAGCCTGCAGTGAATCCACAAATGCTCCTTCTTATACCCCACTTTTCTCAAAGGTAAAATGAAGTCAATCACTAATAAAAGTTTAATTCTGTAGTAACTATAGTTAAGAGGCACAGGTATACAGTGTCAGTTTCTGGATTACAAACCAGTCAATTTCCTCTGTGTCTTTAAGTTTTATTTGTTAAGTAAACAAAAACAGTTCATAGCTAACATCAATCAGGTATTTGTCTTAGCACATAGTACAGCTAACTCAAAGACCATTGGTTCGAATGTACCAGTTTCTCTGTATGAGAAAAACAGGGAGTCTCCTCTCATAAAAATGTATACTTGTGGAAGCCCAGTGGGGGAATCAACCTGAGGGTAGAGAGTGTGGTTCTGGTTTATTATATATAATGTACTTTTCTAAGCCTAAAAACATTAAAGAATATTTGCAGATACATTAACTCATCTTTTTCCTATTTTATATTGATTTATTTACAAAGTTAGAATTTGTTTTTCACACCAGATCTTTCCCATTTCCTTCACCCCACACACACATCAAATTGTGTGACTCATAGCTGACCTTCCAGTGGGTTTTCCAAGGTTGTGAATCACATGTAAGAAGACTGCCCATCTTTCTCCCTCAGAGCAAATGGATTTTAACCTTTGGGTTGAAAGCACTATTCCTTAACCAACGGGCAACAGAGATCCCTCTTTAAAAATAATACAGGAATAGTAATAATAATAGTTTTATGTATATTGCAAAGTAGGGCTCATTTGCTACTACAAATCATATGTATCCTGGATTGTTAGTCATAATCTGGGGAAGTCTGTAATTTCCCGAGTTTTTAACCTAATTGAGCAGCCAGTATGTTAGCAACAGAAGGGGGCAGGGCAGGAATCCAAGGCTTCATCATTGTTGGTCTCTCCCAGCAGGCAAGCCCTGAGAGACAGCTCTCTGGATTTGGTGAGCAGGTCAAATGGGGTTTGAGCGTGTAAAATCTCAACCTATCTTTTATAGTGCACTTGGAGTAAGAAAGAATGGTGGTGAGAAAGTTATAATTAAAAAGAGAGGCTGCAAGCGTCCTAAGATGGTTCTTTGTGTTTAAACAAGAAAATAATATCCTGAGACCAGAACCGTTTAGTTTTACAACACTTCTTGAAGCTTGGCACCCAGCAACCAGCCAGTAATTGAGGGAAATCTCGTTTTTCCTCTGAGCAATCGGGACCCGGCGGCGGCTCCAGCACCATCGCCAGAGGTTAAACGGTAGAAACAGGGCCGTTGTCCTCCAGCCGCCAGCTCATTTACTCCGGGTGTGGCCAGGCCAGGCCGCTGAAAGCGGGGAGAAACGCTGGCCTTGCAGCCCATCCGTTACATAATGCCTCCAGGGCTCCCGAGTAGGGTTTCTGCGCCCCAAAGCGAGGACGCTCTGGGGGTGCCAGGCCCTGTTTGCCCCTTTCAGGGCTCAGAGCCCGTAGGCCGGGTTTCTTCCTGGCGTAGGCCTCTTTTCTGTGTCTTTAAGTCCTGCAAAATCTGATCAATTTCTCCCACCACGTGCCAGGTTGCGGATACTACAGGGGGTCTCCAGGCCCGCAGCCTAGCACTCGGACCCCACTTTCCACCCTGAACTTGGCGCACGCAGGCGGGAACCCCCTCTCTTCGCCCACAGTTCTTTGTCTCTATCAAGAGGGTAGCAATCAGCTGTGGCACCCACGATGCTGGGACGCCCGGAGCCCCCGTACCTGGGTGGGCGTCAGCACTTTGCCCAGCTCATCGATCTCCACCCCGCCATATTTGATCTGCAGTGGGTGCTGCGGTTGCTGGTCCACCTCCTGCAGGCTCAAGGGCCCGGACCACTTGCTGAGGTCCACCGGCATCGAGGTGTCGAGTTAGGGTAACAGCAGAGAGAGTGGCAACACACACAGCGATGCACAGGACACCAGCACGCACACTGCACGTCCCAGTTACTGCGCGTGCGCACCGCCCAGCACGCGCCCTTTCGCCCCGCCCCCAAAAGGCGGGGCCGAACGCTGCTCCCTGATTGGTCCAGCTGCATCGCGCGGCCCAGGTTAACGCAGCCGCCTTAACCTTTCTACTGCACCCCGCCCACCTGTATATCGTTTCCTCCGGGATTTTTATTGCTGGATTTGCAAGATCTTTGTTTTAAGGAATGCAGTTGCGGTGTCTTAAAAAAGAAAAACCAAATCTCTTTGCATGCTTCTTTCCTCCACTATCTAAATTCAGAAATGGAGTATTTTGCTTTTTCTCTTGAGAGTGGTGAAGTAGGTCTGCGCACTGTACTTTCACGCATGCTCACTTGTTTTGGCTGAGAGGCCCTGAGCGGACTTTTTTTTTTTTCCTGAGCAGACTTTTAAACATTTTTCCTCTTCTAGGCATTCACACGCCACCTCTCTTCTCTTCCTATATTTATGTGTGTACATATACATAAATACACATATACATAAATACGTACACACTAATATATATTTACACATATGTAGATAAATCAGAAAATAAAGATCAGTTGTATTGGGGAAGTTTGTTGTCAGACCTCTCCAAAGTGCCAATCTAGAGACTAAGGTGCGCCTGACCCAGGCCATGGTCTCCACAATGACCATTAAAGAGCTGGACAATGACTAAGGATGAAAGAAGGATGCCTTTGAGTTGTGGTATTGGGCAAGAGTATTGACTATACCATAGACTGTCAGGAGAACAAAGAGGTCTGGCTTGGAGAGGATTAAACCAAGTTTCTCCTTGGAGGCTAGGATTTTGAAGCTCCATCTCACATACTTTGGGCACGTGGCCAGTAGGAATCAGTCCTTGGAGAAGAACATCATGCTTAGAATGTAGAGTGGTGGAAAGAAAGCATAGGAAAGGAAGACGGATTGGAACGGTAACTACGGCAATGGGATTAGGTGTGTCGGAGTCAGTATAACTGGTTCAGGATAGGGCACGGTTCAGAGCTGTTGTACATAGAATCACTGAGTCATAGGCAACTCAATAGCACATAACAACGTATAAAAAAGACAAAATCATTCCCACCCATAGGCACCCTCCATCTGATTTCGAAGGCTGCAAATCTTACAAAGATTTCTTAGATAAGAGGTGCAGACTGCCTCATCTTTATCCCACACAGCAGTTGGTGGATTCAAACAGTCTCCATAATTAGAACTTAAGAACATTTTAAGCAAAAGCCAAATCAGTCTGTACCCTCACAGAGCATGTGTTCTAGCAGTGGAGGGAGAAACAATCAATGTCACTGGATAAATGCACAATTATCAACTGAAACAAAGGCCAGGGAGAAATGGTAGGCCCAGTCTACAGGGTGACATTACAGGATGATGCAACTTGCATGGGTTCTACGCTCTCCACCCATGTGACCTCTGGAAAGTTGCTTAGGCTCAGGACAGGCTGCTTCAGTGAAAAGGCTAAGTGATAGATGCAAAACCTCGAGATGAGTGTAAGGAAGCTAAACTTTCTGCTCCAGGAGGCCAGTCTTGTCCCTTTAACAAACAAGAAGTTGGTCACCAGCTCTAGAAATTATACATTCTCAATGCAATTCTGATCAGTCTGCTTCTCTTTTCTCACACAGCCCACTGCCTAATGAGAGCCCTGGTATCCCTCTCTTTGACCACTGCTGCCCATCTTCCTTCTAGTTCATCCTCCAGTCCACATTGATCCACACTGATGAAGTCCACATTGATGAAATAAATCAGTTCATGCTCCCATCCCTACTCTGAGCCTTCTAAGACTCCCCGTTGCCTCAGTATAAAATCTAAGTTCTCTCTGTCTCTGTCTCTCTCTCTCTGTCTGGCTCTCTCTCTGTCTCTGTCTTTGTCTCTCTCTCTCTCTGTATGTGTGTATGTGCATGTAGAAGTAAAAATGTTAAACACTCCATGGATTTGCACGCCAGTCTTGTGCAAGGGCCATACTAATCTCTGTGTTATTCCAATTTCGGTATATGTGCTCCTGAAATAATAATAATAATAAAATCACCTCATTGCCATCAAATCAGAACCCCCTAAACGCTGACGCTCCATAGGTTTTTCAGAAGCTGTAAATTACACAGCTGCCTAAGACCTAAAATGCAGACTCTCAACAAATCCTACAGACTTCTCTCTCCATTGGACCCTCCTTCCTTTCACTATTCTCGCCAAACATTAAATCTGCTGCAGATCAGAGGCATCAATTTGTCATTCTACCTCTGAGCCTTTGCAGATGCAGTTCCCTCTGAATAAACTTTTATGTCCCAGTTTACCGTTATTTATCTTAAACATCTCTTCTGCCTTTTGTTGTCCATCAAGACAGGGGGGAGTACCCTGATCTGTCAACTGTCCTTTCTCTTTCTTAACATTCCAAGCATTTCGAATTAGTGAGCCACCATCCTCTCAAACACACACACACAATCCCACAAAAGCTGCCTCTCTTGTTCATTGCTCATATCCCCAGCACCTAAAACAGTGCCTGATATGCATGGTACATAATGTTATCATTATAATTAAAAGCAGTGAATTTAAGCAGGGGGGAACTATCTGCTCTTAGTTTCAAGTCCAGGTCATTAAGGCTTTATTTTCCAAAATGGTTAAACATCAACCAATCTGTTTTGGTGCTGTGACTCTATGTATCCCTTCCATCTTCTTTTGATGCTTCCTGCACAGGATTTGTCAATGTTGCAACTTAAGCCTTGAACCCTTTTGGGTTTTGAACTCTAGGTTTTTTGATATTTCATTATAACCCTTTGGCTTCTCAAGCCACCCTGTGAATTCTTCTTTTCCAACTTTTTACTTCATCATTTTTTCCATTGCTTACCATAAAGACCCCCTGTAGCAGCTATGAAAATGCCTCTCAGATCTCTGACTGCTGGGAATGTACTTATTGTGATCCTTGAAACAGCTGTTGTTATTCTTCTTTGCTTTAAGGCCAAGGCCAAGGCCAAAACCACATTCCTATGAACTATCCCTAGCCAATGACTAGGCCTTGGGAGACTCTTCAGGCTTGCTGGCTAAAATGCGTCCTAGAATTACACAGGAGGCTAAAATATCCCTACCTAACTTCCCTTCCTTGGGAGCCCTGGTAGCTGAGTACAGACTTATGCTGCCTACGCAAAAGCAGGCAGTTCAAAGCAACCAGCAGCTCCACAGGAAAAGGATGAGCAATCTCCTCCCATAGGATTTGTTGTTGTTGATAGGAGTTGTCGAGTTACATACAAGTCACAGTGACCCTATGAACAACAGATCTGAATCCCGGCCTATCCTGCTCCATCCCTATCATCTGCAATATTCTAAAGTCTATTGTCATAGTCACTGTATCAACCCATCTTGATGACGATCTTCTCCTTCACTAACCTCCCACCTCTCCAAGTATGATGTCCCTTTCCAAGGAACAGCTTCTCCTAACAATCCACTCAAAGTACTCCTTGCCTCCAAGGAGCACTCTGGTTGCACCTTTTCCAAGACATGTCTATTGGTTCTTTTGGCAATTCATGGGACATTCGGTACTCTTCTCCAATACCACAACTCAAAAGCTTCCATTCTTCTATCATCCTTATCCATTCTATATCCTTATTTCAGGTAATTGGGGGGAAGGGACCAGAAGTATGGCTTTAATCAGGTGCACCTTAGTCTTTACAATGACATCATTGCTGTTCAGTAACTTGGGAGAGGTTCCTGACAGTAGACTTTCCCCTATGAACAATGGCCATTCTCACCATCTCTGCCACATTTGAGTTCATTTTTGCAGTCACTGTGTCAAACCATCTCACTGGTCTGCAAATGCAAGGTTGGTGGTTCAAACCATCGACCAGGTCCTTCTTAGAAGAAAGATGTGACAATGTCCTCCCGTAATAATTTATTGCCTTGGAAACCCGGAGGGTCATCATGAGATAAATCAACAAGATGTGGGTTTGGCTTTTGGGGAACTTTTAAGGTGCAAACAGCCAGTGCCCCACCAGAACTCTCTACAAATCAAGCAGTGCTCTAAAAATCCTGATCAATATCCTAACTCTGGAGTAGTTTAGGGTTCTCCTGGCACATAGTCGCTATTGAGATGATTGTGGCTCCTGGCAACCCCCTGTTAGAACAGAGCTGTGCTCAGGTGAGTTTTCAATGGCTACCTTGTCAGTAGTTTGCTAGACCTCTGGATGAACCTGACCACAACTTTCCAATTAGCAGCCAAATACCTACCTTAACCTGTTGGCACCTCCCTGGGACTGTTATGTAACAGGTACTCAGTATCTGCTGATTGCACAAAGCACAGTTCTTATATTAAAGGGTGGGAGGGGGGCAGTCATAAAACCAAGGAAAAGTTTTCTATTTATTTACCAACACTGTCTGCTGGCCATTCTGGATTGTGATGGTTCTGTTTCTAGTTTCAGGCTGGGAACTTTTATAAGTGCTCACTAAGGATAGTACCAGGAAGCTCTAGTGGCTAAGTGGTAAGGAGCTGCACAGCTAATCGGAAGGTGTATGATTCGAATCTACAAGGTGCTTTGTGGGAGGATGGGCAGTCTCCTCCTGACTGATTTATTGTCTCTGAGAACCTGCCAGAGGGTCAGGTATGGGTTGGTTTTAATTAAATGGTACCCAACAACAGGGGAGAAGCAAATGAATAAGCCTCTAAAGCCACAGTTTGGTTGATGAGTAAACAGAAGAAAAATCACTGACGTAACTCTTCAGCAGTCTGGCTCTGCTTGAGTGTTAACTCTTTGAGGTTCTTCTAGACACAGCATTGAAGGAGGAAGCAAAGCTTTGCGCTGTGACCACAGCTCAAGGTCGCCTTGACACAGAATGGTAACCCCACAGCCCACGTTTGATCTTCAGTCAAAGATGCAACAGGGACGTCATTTTGGAAATGTGCTGGTCTCTGAGACCCCCACTCATCAG